TTATGCTAGCGCCTAAATCCGCCAAGGACTTCCCTACATGCAAACTACCAATCATGCAAGGGATAGTGAAACTCCCTGGGTCTTTTCGCTTCTCTGGTAGTTTGTTCTGCAGGATGGCAGAACACTCTTCGTTGAGCATCACCGTTGACAGCTCCCCAAGCTTTCTCTTGTTGGTGAGGAGATCCTTCATGAACTTGGCATACTTGGGCATCTTCGATAATGCCTCCACGAAGGGCATGCTAATGTTTACCTGCTTCAGCATTGCCATGAATTTGGCAAACTCAGTCTCCAGTCGGTCCTTGTGCAATCGAGTAGGAAAGGGAAGCTGTGGTACATACTCCTTCACCACTGGTTGCGGTTTAGGAGCAGGCACCTCAACCTCCTTCTCCATTTCTTCCTGATTAGCTGGAAGTACTGAAGCAGGGGTCTCTTTCTCCTCTGCCCGAAAGGTGGATCGGCAGTCACCTTGCCACTCCTGGTTGTGATGGCACTGCAGTTGGCATTCGGATCCTGCGGGTGAGGAATGGTCTGACCAGGCAAGGTACCAGGAGTCCTCTGAGCTACAGCCCGGGCAACACTCCCAAGCTGGGTCTGTATGTCTCGCAGCACAGCCTGTGTATTTCTCTGACCAGCTTCAAGCTCCAAGAATTTGCCTGAAGCTTTCTCCATGAATTGCTCGATGTTATTGAACTTGTTCGCACTGGAGGTGGCCAGAGAACCCACCAAATCTCTTAATTCCGCCATCAGGTCACTCTGTACTGGAGCTGCAGGAGCTGCCCCTGTTTGCTGAAATGGTCGCACCTGTGACTGAGGTAGAACTGGCCCCTGTCTGGGCTGGTAGAGTGGCTGCTGAAATTGCCCTGTCTGGGCTGGTACGGAGGCCTTTGGAAGCCAGGTGGTTCCTGGGGAGCTGGTGGTTTGGGATTTGCCCCAGCCCAAGAAAAGTTAGGATGCTGGCGCCACCCCTCGTTATAAGTGTTGCTGTAGGGGTCGAAGCGCCTGGCATTACTGATAAAGTCCATCTGTTCCTCAGTAGTAGACGATTCCCTCATCGCCTGACAGTCCTCTACGGTGTGATGGGAGCTCTCACACCACTGGCAGTGCATCGCCTGCGGCTGTCCTGTACCTGCAATCAAACCAGAACGATCGATAGCTGAGACCAGCTTCGATACCACCTGTACCAAATCAGATGACTGGGTGCCCACAGCATGCACACCCCGTCCTGGTGCTCGTCTCGATCTCCTGGCAGTGCCCCAATCGTACCCGTTCTCCGCCATCTCCTCAAAGAGTTGATTCAGCTGTGGCGGTGTTTTGGTCAGCATGTTCCCGCCACAAACCGAATCAATCAGCTGCTTGTCCTCCGGGAAGAGGGCGTGATAGAAGGTGCCCACCTTGAACGCATCATTGAAACCATGATTGGGACACCTGAGGAAAAGACTGGTGTATCTCTCCCAAGCATCCCTGATGGTCTCATCCTCATCCTGAGCAAAATGGGTAATTTGCTTCTGCAGGTCAGCTGTCTTGGATGGAGGATGGTAGCGGGTGAGGAACTTGTCCGCCAGGTTGGCGAACGTGGTGATAGAGCCCGGAGGTCGAGTATCTAGCCACTCCTTGGCTTGCCCCTCCAGGGTGAATGGGAAGTATCTCAGCTGGATGACATCTGCTGGGACCCCATTGATCTTGATTCCATCAATGAGCTCATGGAATCGCCTGAGATGTGATCGGGGCACTCCCCCTCTTTGCCACGGAACATCACCGAACCGCGCAGCATGGTGATTACTGAGGTGATCACCTCAAAATTATTGGCTGGGACATGAGGGTGTTGAATAGGTGACCTCATGTCTGCAGCCCTGGCGGTCCAGTAATGTCCCATGGTCTGCTCCTCGGGATTGACCACATCATGGCCCTGTGGATCAGCCATCTCCTCTTCTTCAGTGATCTGTAGCTGTGCTAGCGCCTCCTCCGCAGCCAGTCGCGCCTTTAGAGCCTGCTTGAAGTTTCTGCAGGTTCGTTCAAGCTCCTGGTCTAGTGGTAGTAGATCTCCCGACTGGCTAAGGGTCATGCACTACCTGCACAGAAACAGCAGAAACAACTCGTGAAGGCACACAGGTGGAAGAGATAAATTGCAGTAAATAAAAAGCTAGAGTAACAGATTCTCACGTTTCCCCAATAACCTAGAGGGTTCCCCGGCAACGGCGCCAAAAACTTGATGCTCTAAAACACAACACCAATCTGCGACCAAGTGTAATCGCAGACCGGGAATGCAGTAAAGTGACAAGTGATATTATCAATCCGGGGTCTAGATCTACTGCTTACTCAGTGGTTATCTATTGTCTAGCCAACTAAAGTAAGTGATTGTTGTTTAAAAGCAAAAGCAGAAAGAAAGCAGGAATTGGTACGGTTTTCTCAAGCAGGTAAGAGTCACTCGGGAATGAGTCCCCCTAGCTCCTTAGTTAGGTTTCAATTGTATTTCCCTGGGTTGATTTACTGTTGATTAGACTGCGGAAGATCCGACAGTAGCTTGGAATCTCTTAAGCTGACCAAGCCATCTCAGTCTAACTACCCGGCAGACGATTAGTCTTCACCGGGATAGAAAGCTGAAGCAGTAAGAACAGAACTCCACTACTGGAATTGGATTCCAGTACAAAGCAGTAAACTGGCTAACTCTCGTATAGCCAATCTCCTACTACCGAATGATGAGACTCTAGCAACCTAATCAGATTCTATCTATCTCAGATTGCAGCAGGAATCAAGAAAAGTTGATCAGGCTTCAATTGACTCAATAAACATGCATCATTCGATTAAAATCAAACAGTAATATCATCCCAAGTCATTACAATCAATCCCTAACACATAGAACTAGGGTTTTTCATCCCCAAGTGAGAGAGGGGTTCTACTCCATAGAGAGAGAGAGAGAGAGAGGAAAACAAGATACAAAGCAGTCATACTCATACTTATGGGAAGAATTTGCTCTGGGATGATGATTTCCACCCCTATGACGATTTCCAAGCTTGATTTGATGAAACCCAGCTCCAAGATAGCTGCTAGGATGTGTTCTTCGTTCTTTCTCTCTCTAGGGCTCTGTTTTTGCTCAAGAAATCCGAATCCTCTTCCTTGGCTCAAATCTGCCTTCAAAAACCCGACTCTGGGCGAAATACGGGCAGAATTACAGCCGTAATCACGGCCTGCCCGTAATTCGCCCAAAACGCGCGTTTCACTTTACTCTGATGGAAGAGGAGCTACGCCCGTAATTTCACAATTACCGCCAGTATTTCATTAATTACGGTCGTAATTTGGTGGATGCTTGCCCATAATTTTAGTGCCGAGAAGAATTCTTGGGAAAAGTGGCTCGGCATTGGTTTTACGGGCATGTCCTGACCAATTACGGTCGTAATTTGGCAGGGGCTGCCCGTAATTTGTCCTGTGAATCACCATCTGACCTCCAAATGACCCGAAACTTGCGCCTATGCACCTCTTTACTTGCTAGGACCTGAAATACGACAAAACAACACAACCAAGCGTAAAATAGGCCAAGGAACAATCAATTCAAGCTGAAATGGACAGGAAACCAGAGTGAAAACACGTGCAAATACGATGCTATCAATTATATGAACTATTCCAGAAAACATGAAATATTTGAGAAATTTGTCCTGTGAATCACCATCTGACCTCCAAATGACCCGAAACTTGCGCCTATGCACCTCTTTACTTGCTAGGACCTGAAATACGACAAAACAACACAACCAAGCGTAAAATAGGCCAAGGAACAATCAATTCAAGCTGAAATGGACAGGAAACCAGAGTGAAAACACGTGCAAATACGATGCTATCAATTATATGAACTATTCCAGAAAACATGAAATATTTGAGAATTTTTCCATTTATGCTCTGAACGCCTAGGCGCGCCTAGGCTACGCCTAATCAGGCAAGGCGCAAGTCAGGAGCCGAGCGCCTGCCTTACGCCTAGCGCCTTTTAGAACCTTGACCATAACATTAGGGTACAAATTCCTTTATAGTACAATCTAAACTTATACATTTAACGTTATGGTACAACTTCAAGTTGTACATTAAAGCACTCATACTTTAGAGCATAGTAAAAGTTCTCCCCTACACATCAATTCATTGTTTGGTTCATTGCTAAGAAGTCTATACAAACATATGATGTGATGAAGAAATGAGGATAGTCTGGCAATTCTTTGTGTGTTTTGTTAGCATGAATTGGAAATAAGAGAACATGTGTTCACAGGCTCCCTTATGTATTAAGTAGTTTCATTTGCATATTTTTGGCCATGTGAATGTGCCAGCAAATCGATAGGAAGATGAAATAATCTGAGCACTGAAGAAGTTTAATGGGAAGACCCCTGTTGCTGTTGGGAGAGTGTTGTGGACATCTCTGGTAAGTTGGGTTTGGAGAGAAAGGTGTTAGACTGCTTTTGACAAACAAGGACGGTGGTGCGTGGTTTAGTGTTGCAGATGTGAAGTGAAGTTGTTGTTCTAGTGAATTATAATGAGGTATAATGCAAATGGTTGATAGAAAAGGTACATGTATATTAGATGTGGTTGACATGACAAGGGTTGTTGTCAAATGCGTTTTTTGATGAAATACAACAATACCATTCATAGAAAGAAAATTGTGAAGATTGAAGAAACTTACTTTTTTTTTTTTTTTTTTTTGAAGATTGAGAAACTTACTTGATTGAACAATGAAAGTTTCAATGGCTCTGACGACAGTATTCTTGCAACATTCCCCGCAAAGATCGTAGGAGGCCCAAATTAGTGAGAGCACAAGACGTGTAACCTTCATGCACGTGGAAGGCCCAAACGTGATGGGCCGATCGAGAGCAGAAGTCCAAGAACTGTAAATTTCCGAACGCGCCCGAGAGAAGAAGAGGAAAATTAAGCCTAAGGCCTAAGCCTAAGGGCGTTTGGCTTGGCATTTACGATTGACTTCCTTTGCCTGCTGCCTATAAAACCTAAACCCTCTCCATAAACCCTAACTGGAGTAATCCGCAGTACCCACATACCAACCAAAGTTTTTTCCAAATTCTCACCGTCCCCAAAGCCTCGACGCCATGGCCTTCGCTTCCATGCTTCGAAGGGCTTCTTCTTCTGTTCTTCCTCGCGCGATCCGTGCCGCCGCTTCTCCGAGAACTTTCCGCACCGCCGTCTCAACCGTTCTCTCCACCGAAAAGCAGTGTCTCGGCCGTGAGATTGCTCGCCGTGGTTTCACTTCTCCTCTCCGATTCTCCACCGCCGCGGTTGCAAACAAGGATAATCTCGTTCGGGTGCTCGAGGCTGAGATCGAATGTGCTGAGGAACCATGCGTATGCCTACTTTCCCTCAATTCCTTTTCGTCCGTTTTAAAGAAAAAGAAAAAAAACGTGCTTTAGATGTCAGATTAGCAAATATACTCTGCCTAACTTCATACGGTTGAATCTTTGGTGATAAATTAGTGAAATTTGGTATAATTGATAGTCGGGATTTGCCTAAACAGGATAGCGAGGTCCCAGCTGGTTTCCCTTTTGAAATAGAAGATATTGATGGTGAGAGGACCATCACTCTCACAAGGAAGTTTGAGGGCGAAACTATCAAGGTTGAAGTTGATATGCTGAATGTTGATGGTGATGAGGAGGAAGAAGAAGAAGATAGTGATAATAACAATGCTAATGAAAACAATGACAAATCGACAACTAGCATCCCCATGGTTGTCACCATTTCCAAGGGGAGTCGGCAGGAGCTTGAGTTTGGTATCACAGCTTTCCCCGATGAGATCTCTGTGGATAGCTTGTCAATTAAGAACCCATCAAGTACGGAGGAACAGCTTCCTTATGAAGGCCCTGATTTTGGGTAAACTGTGAAAGATTTTAAGATTCTTGGGAATTGATTTTGAGGGGCATTGGTTTTGCTAACTACTAACTTTGATGATTTCCCTTTTATCTTTGTTGGCAGTGACTTGGACGAGAACTTGCAGAAAGCTTTCCTCAAGTATTTGGAGATCAGAGGGATCAATCCAAAGACAACTAACTTTCTGATAGACTACATGGGAAACAAGGACAGCAAAGAGTATGTGAATTGGCTTAACAACATCAAGAAGTTTGTGCAAAAGTAGAGAGGGAAAGAGAGCTCTTCTCAGCAAACTGTTTCAAGAGTTAGCTAGTCTAGGGCCTGGTTGAGAGAGAGAGAGAGAGAGAGAGAGAGAGAGGGATATCTACTCTTTTCTTTTTTTCCTTTTTAAAAGTCTATGTTCTCTCTAGTAGAGGAACAATCAGTGGTGAATTGAAACACAGATTCTCAACTTTCTCCTGCTTGGCTTTCCTATGGTTATGTCGGGAGACTTCCCTAGAATTGATAATGGGATCACTATATGAGTTAACGTTTTAGCTGTTCGTGAAGGATTGTTAAACGATTCATGATCTTGAGCTTCTGCTCGGGGGGTAATCAGATCGCATTATTAACTTCGGTAAATGGGATTTTGAGCTGTTTTCCTGTACTTCTTTTTTCTTTCAGTTTTTGTTCCGTACGACGCCAAGTCCATAATTAGAGTGCCGTGGATATCTAGGAATCACGAAGCTGTTGTGTTTTGGATTACCTTATATAACAACGGATTCAGTGGATTTCGCTTCGAAACGGCACCTTACTTATTCGGACTTATCTAGTCTAATCTCCAGATCGTAGAGCGCTTGGAAAAAACCAGTTCTTTCGATTTCTTTCTCTCTGCATTCTGCAGCACAATCATGGGTACAGAGAACAAGCACGGACCCTTGTATTTTGATCTGAATACAGGTGCGAAGATGCCGGCAGTCGGCCTCGGGACATGGAAAGCTCCACCCGGTGAAGTCGGCGAAGCTGTCAAAGCCGCGGTCAAGGTAAATCCGTTCTGATCGAAACTCCTTATCATGTCTTTCGTTTGTTTCAATTGCATTGAGTGGTGAATTAACATTCTAGCCGGGGATTCGTATTGTAGGCTGGTTACAGACACATTGACTGTGCCCGTGTTTACGATAATGAGAAAGAGGTAATCTTTCCACTCTTTTCTCCCAATCGAAGAATGGGAATAGCGGATGATCCGCATAGATTCTGGTTATGCGTATTGAGAAGCTTTTGTGATACAGGTGGGGAAAGCACTGAGCGAGTTATTTGCTTCTGGAATTGTACAGCGGAGTGAGTTATTCATCACATCTAAACTATGGTAATCTAAGCGATTATTTTTGCTGTGTACTGTCCCAAAATTTAGTCTCCAGGAACGAATTTGTCAACTTGAACTGATATGTCTACGTTTGGGGTTATTCAGGTGCAGTGACCATGCTCCTGAAGATGTGCCAAAGGCACTAGCAAAGAGCTTACAAGATCTGCAGCTCGACTACGTTGATCTGTACCTGGTATATATACATCTCTAGCTTCTCTTCTTCCTAAAATTTGAACGGTTTTCTAGTGACGCCGCTTATTTTGATCAACTGTTTGAGTATGTGTTTCAAAGATCCATTGGCCATTTCGGACAAAGTCAGGCTCCAAGGGGTGGGATCCTGAAGTCATGGCTCCATTATGCCTGCCAGAGACCTGGGCAGCCATGGAAGCTTTGCAAGCTTCTGGTCAGGCTCGTGCGATTGGTGTTAGCAACTTCTCTACTAAGAAGCTGAAAGACCTCGTGGGTTACGCGAAAGTGCCTCCAGCAGTCAACCAGGTGGAGTGCCATCCTGTTTGGCAGCAGCCTGCGCTTCATGAATTCTGCAAATCAGCTGGAGTCCATCTCTCGGTATTAATCTCTTCTTCTCCTATCTTGTTGTTGATGGTGATTTTCTGGAGATTGGTTTGCTCAAATGGGAACACTTATGTCTATCCAAATTGGCAGGCGTATTCGCCATTGGGATCACCGGGTTCATGGGTTAAGGGAGAGATCTTGAAAGAGCCCGTCCTAATTGAAATTGCAGAGAAGCTGAAGAAATCCCCAGCGCAAGTTGCATTGCGTTGGGGAATCCAGAGTGGTCACAGTGTGCTTCCGAAGACTGTCAATGAATCCAGGCTCAAGGAAAATATAAGCTTGTTCGATTGGTGCATTCCTCTCGATCTGTTCTCGAAATTCTCTGAAGTCCATCAGGTTTCTATTCTGACATAGCAGCCCCAACGCTTTAACACTTGATCCTTTCCTTAAAATGATCTGAAGTTGGTGTTGTCTTGATTTCTCAATGCAGCAAAGGCTTCTACGGGGAGATTTTGCGTTGCACGAGAGCAAAAGTCCCTACAAAACTCTCGAGGAACTATGGGACGGGGAAATATGAAGAAATAGTGATAGAGGGCAGCAACGAGCTCATGCTTAAGGATAATGATAAACGAAATTCAGGATTCGTGGTGGTAGTGATGAGAAGGGATTGTTTTGTGGGTTTATTATTTTTATGTTATCAAGTTGTGTTTGTTAATTGTGGTCAACTACTAAGCAACACCATCATGGTATACTGATATCGGCGTTCAACCTATAAATAACTTGATGGTCCTTAATTGAGACAAGTATATCTTGGTTGAGCTGCGTAACATAGGATTCAACACCCTATATGTCTCTTTGATTGTATTCTATGGATGCCTTCGTCGCTCCAAGGTTCAACCACATAGAAGCTTCAAATTATTTACTACTGTTGTGCGCCATTGAAACTTCAATGCGGCCGCAATGACGAGCGACACATAATTCTGTGTTTTACATCAACTCGATATCGGTTTTAGTTTCATTTTCTAAGCTCCTTCGAAGCTTTGATACGAAAAGAACTAAACTGTGGGGTGGACAATTGGGATTCATCTAATACCAATCTCTTTAAGAACGCCACATGATGACATGATCGGTGCCTTGGTAAGCCCTTGGCAATCGTTATTCTTCTTACGGGGAGTGAGGGTGTCTCATGATGATTCATTGTGGATTTGCACTTTTGAGATAATATAGACACTCAGCGATTGGTAATATATGTGTTTGTCGCTTATGACATCACGAGTTCAATGCCACTATGACCGTGCTTTTAGTATGTTGCCTAGCATTGTGGGTTCTCCACTCAATCTCGAGGTGGATTACCTTAAGAGAGCCACTTAGCTAAATCTCTTAGGTTTTTCTATAGAGGAGGAGATGACGCACTTGCTCTCTCTATTTACACTTTTTTGTTCCTCATAGGACAACCAAACATCGGAAACTAACCGATTTGCATGAATTTCAACAATGTGGTAACTTCGTTCTACCTTTCTCCATACTCCTTGCTTGGTCCAATGAGAACATTGCTCCATTTAAACTGTAGGGTGGGATTAGGTAGACTGTTCTTCACCCTATATACCATACTTTTTCGAATGACCATGCATATGGGAAAAGAGGATTGAGGGTGCTTTTATGCATAAAATTCTGAAATTTCGAGTAATGCCACACCCCCCAAAGAAAATTCGAAGTTCATCATACTTTGAATTGCTAGTCTCTGCAGTAGTAGGTGATCGAAGGGAGGCTTGCATATGGGCTATGAAGGATGTCCTTATAATGAAAATTGGATCCATCTTCTGAAAAAAAAAATGTATTGATTGGTGCTTCCTACCATCCTTTTTGAGTTCTCTAACTCCTCCTCATCGGAAGGAGTCTTCGGCGCTTAAAAAAAAATGGGGTCGATATGTAGTTTCGTACATTTAAAATTCTACCACGTCAAGTTTACATCAATAGATGATGTTGAAACACCCTAACCCGGCCGGGTACTACTTTTACTAAAATGCCCTTGACAAATAAAATACTCAAATCTTAAATTGCAACTGGGAAAAATTTTCATAAATAAAATACTGAAAACACACACTTTTACTAGCAAAGCCCTAACATGTGGGCAAATTAAACTCAAACTTTAAAATCTCAATATGATCTCAAAATAATCTCCAGTCTGTACCCATAATCATAAATGTAATTAGCTAATAAACTCTGAAGTTGTTGCTACTGAAAACCTTGACTAAGCATTCTCTGTGACGCTTATACTGCCTTCCTTTAGTTGCCTGCCCTCGAAGTCGCTGCTCACTAAATGCTCCTCTAGCTCTTCCTCTAGCTCTTCAAACTGGTGAGTGAGATGGGGTCAGTCTACGCCCTTACGTTTAAAATTCTTACTGCTTAGTACTTTACTTAAAACACTTAACTTTGACTAGTGGAAGTTGTTTGGACTTCCAATCTTAAAATCTTAACTCTTAAACTTTGAGGGAGTTGAAGTTACTCTCCTCTCTTAAAGCTCAAATCTTGACTTAAATACTTGACCGACACTGGGATCCCTTCACTAGCTAGTCCCGTTGCCAACTCATACGTATGAGAAGCCAATTGATAACGATGTAATTGCACATATTTGCGCCCCTAGTTCTTATCCGTTGGAGGGGCATAGTCGTGTACTTTTGGCCTATTTTACGCCGGGTTGTGCTATTTTGTCATATTTCAGGTCCCAGACGTCAAAGGAAAGGCTAAGCACGAGTTTCGGGCCATTCGGAAGTCATTTCGTCGAGCTGGAGCCAAAACACGGGCACACCTAATTCATTACACGGCCGTGTTCTCCCAAAGCACGGCCGTGTTCTCTCCAAAACACGGCCGTGCTCTGTGGCCGTGCTTTTACTGCCGAGAGCTAATTCGAGTTTGGCAAACATGAGCTGATTACACGGGCTGAAAGCACGGCCGTGTTCTCCCAAAGCACGGCCGTGTTCTCTCCAAAGCACGGCCGTGTTTCTCCCAATGCACTGGCCGTGTAATTAACCCTAGCCAAAGCACGGGCGGGCTGAGGCATTACACGGCCGTGCCCTCGACCGTGCTTTGGCCACTGATGCCCTTTTAAGCAGATTTTCAGCCAAAAGGAAAGGAGAGAGCTGGGTTTTGGATCCCAAATACCCAAGGGACGAACCAAAGAGAGAGAGGGCGATTTGAGGGCATTCTTGGAGTGGAATTGGAGGATTTCTTTGCCTTGGAAGCTCGAGGAACAAGCCCGGACTTGAAGACTGATCATCTGAAGATTCTTACTGCAGTCTCTCTCTTCTCTATGGAGTAACTTCCCTTCACTTAGGTTTTGAGGAACCCTAGCTATGTTTGTTTGATTGGATGATTGTATGAGTACTCTGACTTGATAATCTTGAGTTCATATTCAATCTATGCATGTTTTCATGATTCAATTATGCTTTAGTCGAGATTATTGATTCTGCTTTGATCCTATGAGAGGGAATACCTGATTAGGTCAATAGAGCACCATAGATTGATAGTAGTGGATCGATTGCTTTAGTCGAGGGTTGATTCACTGCTTTGTATCGATTGAGAACCTCATTCGATAGAGGGAATCTAGTTCAGAACGCCTTGATCGGTTGTTCTAGAGAAGGATACGTCCCTCTAGGCAATTGACTCAAGAGGGCTTTGTTCCTTTAGTCGAGACTCAAGGTCTAGTCAAGGATTCTCCGCATTGTGAATGAAAGTGAAACAAGTTAGAAATCATCAATCATTAGTCTGGCTAGTGGCTAGGGGGAATCATACCTAAGTGAGTTCCCAACCTGTAATTAGATTAACTTTAACTGTAGTTTGCTAGAGTAGTTTTAGTTCTTTCATCTTAATCTGGTTTGCTAAATAATAAACTGAAGCTGAGTAATAGTAACTCTAGAGACCCGTGGATTCGATATTTATCACTTGAGCCACTATACTGCAGTCCCTTCCATTGGTTACACTTGGCCATTGTTAGGTGCTGTGTCATAGCGAGTCAAGTTTTTGGCGCCGTTGCCGGGGACTTTCTAGAGTATTAGGAAAGGTAGAAGTTTGTTACTTTAGCGTTTTTCTTTTCTTTTCTTTTCCACCCTTGCTTTCCACTTGGGTGTTTTTGTTTTTGTTGGTGCAGATCTGAATCATGGATCCTCATGGCTTCTCCAACAATTGGGGGTATCCACCACCATCCGAGTGGTATTACCCCGAGACTCCCTGGAGCAATCAAGGAGGAGAAGACTATGGATTCGGGTTCCAGTACCAACCCCCTTACTACGGTGAACAACCGGACCCCTGGGCATATCAAGAACAACCTCATTACCAAGAAGAATTTCTCCCACAACCAGAAGGGCCATCGGCGCTGGAGTTACCCATGGCGGCCTTCACGGGCTATTCTGCAGAGCCATGCTACACTCCACAGCCAGATCCAACCTACGAATTGAGGCTTCTCATGGAGAGATCATGCTCCAGGATGGATCATTGTGTCCAGGCCTTTCGTGAAACAGAGGAGATCCTCCTGAGCCTTAAGAAGAGCGTCGATGATCTTGAGCGATCTTGGGCACAACCTGCTCCAGATCACCCTTCTGCTACCATACAAGAAGAGGAGGAGGAAGAAGAAGGCTACAAGGACATTGTGGAGCACACTGAAGTTGTCACGGAGAGCTCCCGTGATGATCATGATTAGGAGTGTCATGTCGTAGCCGACCACACCTTCCCATACCCCAAACTGAGCTTTGAAGAGGCGGGCATGAGTGAGGAGATGCAAGAAGATCTCATGAAAGAAATTGCTTGGCAACTTGCTCTCCAATCCGTGCTAGAAGAAGAAGAGCAAGAAAGGGTGCAGAAAGAAGTTGTGGAGGATGACGAAAGTGAAGCTGGAGGAGTTCTTGATCATTTCCCAGGGGTGATACCACATGAAGAAGGAAGGGAGGTTGAAGAAGCAATTGGAGTCCAGGCTGAGGACGAAGTTGAGGTGGAAGAGGCTTGCACCGGCCATGAGTTGCAAGTGATATCCCCACCAAACTTTGAGGAACTGCTTAGCAAGGACCCATTTGCAGTGTTTCTTTGCCGGACCAAAGCCACATCGAAATCGGTCCCTCTTGGTGGACGCGATGGTGGCCAATCGATGCTGTCATATCTGGTTTGGGGCAATGAGACGAGAGAAGAGAAGAAGAGGTCTCGAGGGTGGAGACTTCATTTGCATCAAGTACATGAGCCTTCATCACCTGTCACACCACATGCTCGTGACTTGAGACTCCACCTCATCGACGAGAACCTCAACTTCAAGGAGGTTCTAGCATGGACCGAAACTTAGGAGCCATCGTCTGGCTCACGACGTGAAAGAAGCGCTTGTTGGGAGGCAACCCAACTAGTCGGTTTGCATTTCTTTCTCTATTTCCTCGGTTGAGTCAGTTTTGTTATTTGATTTTAGAGTCAATAACTCAACCTTTGTGAGATTTTGTGTGGTGTTTGTGTTCTGATTACTCTCTCTTTCTGGAATGCACCGCCTGACCCGTTCATCATCATTCAACCTTGATCTGGTAACTTCGTTCTACCCTCCTTATC